TTCCGTTCCATTATTGCTTCCGTCACTCGTCCATGGGTGAAAACCTCTGACCTCGCAGCAAGCCTTTCTTGGCTGGGGTTGGGTTTGGACTGGTTGTATATGGGTTCTACAGGTGTCGGAATGCTCCCTCTCTAGATGTTGCCTATGAGTTCCAGGGAATCACAGAAAACGGGAAGGGGTTTTAGGCCTTGTGTTTACCAGTGGATTTGGGTTTTTTTGTCCGGGTTTCGTCGGCTGTCTGATTGAAGAAGATGAAGGGAGGGTTGGTGTAGTGGTTTGCTGGGGAAGACGATCGAAGGTTTTGAGCGGATGCAGGACCACTTGTTTGGACTTTCCCGATTTTTGTGTCTTGTTTAGGCGATCATATCTTTGAAAGCTTCAGGATTCGCCGGAGAAGATGACCGGCTCACCGAGATTCAACAACGCCTGAAGCTACTGTTTCCGGCTACTGTGGATTCGCCATTTTTCGACTACTTACCTATGCCGCCGGGGGCTGCCGGGGCTCGACGGGGGTGGGTGGTGGATGGTGGAGCTTCGAACCAACAGAGGTTACTTCCGGTATGAGACTTGGCCCTGCTTTTCCGGTCGCCGGACTGTTTGGCGGAACCGGCTCCAGGTGGGGTGGCTGGGGGAGGGGGTGGGATGGGGTGGACTGACAACTGACCATCGGTTGGCCAGACTGTTGGTTGACCCGTTGACTGTACGATGGATTTGAATTTTTTTGAAAGGGGCGGCGCGGATGCTATGCGATGAAGGGGTTGGGGTTTGGGCTGTTGCCCTAATTGCCGGACAGATTTGCTGCGTGGATGGGCCGCTGCTGGGAATAATTTAAATGGGAATTGGGCCTGCGGTCTGGGCCCGTATTTGTGAAGATAAGATGCTGATGCTGAGGTGTGCTGCTGGACTGCTTTTTGACGCAGGGAACTTGCTGCAGGGATGGGTCTTCTACATGGGCCTGGACTGGTAGAGTTGATGGACATGTGGTCCTTTGACTGGTTTTGCCTTTTATTAGACTAGTCCTTTTTGGTTACTGATTTTTGTGATACGCGTCGGGGCTTGTCCCGTGCCGTTTTGATATCCAAAAAACTTCTCTCTCCCCCTCTCCCGGATTTCGGGGGGGGGGGGGGGGGGGGGGCGGATACGGTTTATACTATTTTAGGTTAGCTTGCTAGCTTAGATAGTTATTTTTGATCTCTTTTTGACGCATTGTACTTATGCTATTTTTCTGGATATATATATTTACATTTTATCCAAAAAAAAAATGGAAAGAATCTAGAGGAAGACGTGGTTCGTGCTTCCTTTACTATTTTAAATCATAAACTATGCTCATGGATACTTTTGTAATATTACATTGTTTTGGCCTGCGAGCCTGCGTTTTGCCATATGTGGCTTATGATTGACCGTTGAATATTTTCCGCTATATATTCAATCTATGATGTGATGTTGTTATGTATGTTTACTATTGAGTATGGTGTGAACGATGTTCATGAACGCCTTGTGTGATTATGCGAGGTTGACTTGCGGGTGACGTCACTTAATCACACGGCGGTTGTACACGCGCTTAGATGCGGTCTGGGGCATGACACTTCTACCGTGGTTCGTCCCAAATGGCGACATCCGGACAGGACTTCCTATATAAGGGGTGATTTGCACTTTTTAAGTTAGTTCGAGGACCTATTTGACCTTTTAGCCAATATTCTTAGTCTGAAAATTAGGTTAAGAACTAAAGTATCACTTTTATAAAAGTCGAAAAACTAAATATGAGAAATTTTAAAAATAGGTACCAAAAGTTTATTTATCATAATAATAGTTGAAAGACAAAAAGTGGAAAAATTTATAATCGAATACTAAAACTAATAGTGAAATAATAATCGGAGGAGTGAAAGTGAAAAAAAATCACACTATTACTATTATTATATGACCCCAAGAAACACATTCTTAGTCGGAAAACATTTTTTTGCAACAGCTTGTAAAACATTATTACTCATTAAAAAATGTCTAAATTTAAATTTTAAGAAACTATTTGCAAATAACAATTGTTTATGTCCTATTATTGAGAAACTTTCTAAATAATACTCAACTCATCTCATCTCGGAATATTCTTCATTGTTTCTTTTGTGTACATCTCAAAATAAACTTTAATCTTCTTTTATGATAAAAAATTTGTGGTTCATACTCGCACCGTAACATTCATATTATTTCACTTCCTTTTTTCAATCATAATATTCATATCTTGCCATTAATTTTGAAAATAATACACTATTACATCTACTTGTTTGAATTTATCCTTCATTCCACCACATTATTTCATTATCCTTTCATTATACCCTCAATAATTTATATTTAGTTTCACTATTTTTAATCTCATCTACTTTTTAATAGGAAGATATGATTGTTATCAAGGTAGTATTAGTTTTCTTTTCGTTTCACAATCATGTAAATTTGCCTTTCTTGACTTATGTGCAAAATCAAACTAGAAGATTAATATGAGAGGGAGAGAGTAACTCGTTTACATGTTTAATTGAAACTATTTCTACTCTATTTTTTTATTGAAACATTACTCTCTATTACAGGTACGAAATAGTAAAATAATTGTATTATTTTACTCTCCAATTTCGATCTTCTTTTTCTACTGTGTCGTGCTCTTCTCTTGCAACTCCAACATCAATCCTCTTATCATGTAACTCAAAATCAATCCTCTACCCCTGTAATTCAATATTAAATAGATCAACTTCTCCTGCACCTCAACAATTGATCCTTCTATACGATGTCCAATTCTGAACTCCAGGTTCCCAGATTCGTCTTCCTCATCTGATTTCTTCTTCTTATTTTGATTTGTAGAAAATATCATCTTTGTTCTCAAAATGTCATGGAGACGACTTTGCATATACTATCTCCGTCCCGGTGGACTTTGCCAAGCGCAAAGTAGGTTAGAAATAAAAATAGTAAAAAATGTGTGTTTGAGATTTGTGCAGAGGAGAGAGAAATGTGCAGAACCACAAATTAGTTGCTTTAATCGGTAAATGGTAAAGTTTCTGGGATAACAAAAAAAGGAAAGTTGGCAAAGTTCAATGGGATGGAGGAAGTATAAAAACATGGGAGTCGTTGAAAACGTCAAGCATATATCATTTTTACTCTTTGGGAATGTCATACTTTGTTTTGAAAATGTAATACAGATGTAAAGTAAAGTTGTTATCTTGATAAATGTAATGTCAAGGCATTAACATTTTTTCAAATCGGTGTTCAATGACATAACAAATATGACATTTTTCAGGTCCAAATGGTGAGAAATATAGTACGAATGATTTAAAGTGAATTAGATGGAATATATAAAAAATAAAAATTCAAAAGAGAAGAAACGAGATTAACTATGGAAGAAACAAAATAGAGAAGCTGAAAGAAGAAGAAGCTCACTTGGGAAAGTAGCGGAGGACATCTTTGTAGAGGCATCCTTCAGCGCAAGCTTCACAAGTCGCGAACGAAAGAAGAGTGACTTTGCAGGGCAGTTTTCGTATTCCATCTATATTTCAGTCTTATGCTATTACACGGAAAGGTGATAGTCTTGCGATGAAATTTTGGGAAAACTCTCAATTTGATCCTCGTACTATCACAAAAAAATCAATTATGTCTATTTGCAGGTTATTTGCAACGTCATCAGGTCATGTGCTAACGTGACACAGATGTGTCAGCCCAATCAACAGTGACTTTGCTGATGTGGTAAATATGTGAAGGTCGATTAGTCATTTGCTGGTGACATGTCGCACACGTGGATGACACATGTGCGCCACGTCAGCAGGTGACCTGTTGACATGAAAGTAACTTGCAAATGTATTCAATTGAACGTTTTTATAAAGTTCAGAGATTTGATTATGGATTTTTGACAAGTTTCAGAGCTACTCAGATAAATCTCTCCATTACTTTTGTGAACAGAGGTCTGGTAGAGGCTCTGGAGAGAATCCTTGCAACATACGAGTACTCTACAGACAGTAGTCCATGGACACGTGTTTTGCCAGAGAAGGGTGTTGTGTGGCCCTACATCGATGAAGAAACAGCGATGTCGGCTTCAAGCTGCCGTAGGCTCAATGCTCTGTCCGGCGTCCCGCCAGCATGAGTTCCGTTCTTCTCCCTCTGCTTCTCCTTCTCCGATTCTCCGTCTATCTGTGAGTGCAAACATTGGCGGATTTTATTGTATAAATGTCATAGCTTGTTCGTACTGCGTAGTGGACATTGGAAATCATTTTGATTTTTGACAGATTTCTGTGATATTTAATCCTTGACCAAATGCCAATTGCAGAAAGTTAGCATGTTTGTCTTTCTTTTTCAGCTTTCAACCATGGTGTTGAGTATTCCTCGTAGATTTGACACAGAAACCCTAAAATTTACTCTCTGTTTCAGTTCCATCAATAGCCTTTGTCTCTTGTGTGATTTGATATCCGATTCTTATCTATTTCCTTCCTGAGATTACATTTGATGAATTCTTACAGGGCTTTCATGGAATTAGTGGAACGAAATTCATTTCAGTCAATTTTAAGTTTAATCAAATTCTACTGCTCTCTCGAGTACCCTTCACTAATTAGAATATTGCAATTGGGTAGTAGGGTACTGGACACACTATAGTTTTCAAATGAGAAACATTCTGTGTTCTTCCTTAAACCAAAACTCTGTAAAATAGGAAAAGTTCTTTTTAGCTTTTTGTTTCAAATGATCATTATAAGTTTTTAGTATTATTTTTTAAAAGTTCATTAGACATCATATGCCACATTGCCACACAATCATTTTAAAATCATTGAGCGATGAAGTGCAAAGTACCCGAGATACTGAACGCATCTCATATTTTATAAAAATAACGAAGGAAAGAAGAGTTGGCTTGACCAATAAATAGGAACTAGGAAGTACTCCGTACAAATGAGTGACTTTTGGAGGTTTTTTCACTCTGCATAAAAATCTATCAGTTTCTGTTTTAAATGATGGTATAATATAGTGTTGAGTTTATCTATTCATAATTAGAACTTACTCCGTAGAATTTATCATTATAAAAGTAGGATGTGATAATGATCTGACAGAAGTTCGAAGTACAGTATAAATACATACATACATCAGTTCCAAGCTAAAGCTAAGGAACCCCAAACTGCACTTATGGTAGACTTAAAATGGAAAGGATGTTACATCTATATAATCAGTAATTGACATGCAATTCCCTTGCTCCCATCTTGTTGGAGAAAAAGGAAGAGAGGAAAATACCAAAGAAAAGAAAAAAGGCGACACAACTATACTTCCGTTACAATAGCTGCCAACATTAGCAATGCAGAATCATTGTGGGCCATTAGCCGCATGACCCTCTTCCTTTCATGACATGCCTCCTTAGCCCGGGAATGTGAACATTTGATATGTAATCTTTCCAATCTAAACTCTCAACGTCAAACCCAAACTGCCATCTTTCTTCTTTCGACATGCACTCCATCAGCTTCTGAGTATTGCTGTTATCAAACCTGCAGATTTAGGGCCATTAAAAGTTGCAAAAAAAGCGCATAGACTATATTGAAGTAAAGCAATACTGGTATGCTTGGATCCCTAGAAGAATGAAATGGTTTCAAGTATTTCATGGTTCCAAACGGACCCTAAAGAATCTTGCTAATTACCTTCCACCATAGAAAGTGTATGGCTCATAGATGCTGGCCAAGTACTTTGCTTGCTCAACTGATTTTTTACAGATGTTTTCAATCTTGCTAGATAGTTTTCCATTAGTATTGCCTAAAGTTGTTAGCCCACTTTTGTTTATTGTGTCTCGCCATAGGTGGGAACACAAGGCTTCCATGGAGCTGAAAAGCTTCATTGTTGGGACATCAATTGGCTTTCCCTTAGAGTCAATGTACGGCTTAGAGTGGAAATGTTCATACAGCAATCTGGCGAGGTCCTTGAAGACTAACGGGTTTACAACTGATGAAGCAATCTGGTATATATTAGTTCCTGGCTTTCCAGCTATGCCGTGCTTTGCCATTGCCGCCAATGTTGCATTGACAACCATGTCGGCTGGAACCTGAAATGAAAAAGTGATTTCAGTAAGTAAAAGATCATCATTTTTTTTACTTTTTTAGAGATTTATTATTAGAGGCACTTTTTTGAAACTAAGACAATGTTGGTGTTTGCTTGTGCGTATGAGATGTGGTTTATTTTATAGGCTATAGATAAAGTGGTTAGTAGTAAAAACGGGTCGTGTACTAGTGTTTGAATTTAAAAAGTTGCAGTTTAAGTGTGTGTTAAAAACAACATATGGTGTATTTTTGGGACAAAATGTTATGGAAAAGTGAAAAGCTGTAATGAACACCCTCCATCCAGCTCACCGCTTTTAGCTCTAAAGCACTTCAAAATAATCGGAAACAGCAATTTAATAACGCGACCTTAAGCTTCTTCTTCTTTTTTAAATAAAAAAGCATAAAGCGCATCTAGTAAGCAATTGCAAACACTTTCTGAAAGCCAAAATGGTGCTCTTTACAAAAACCCTTAATTTGTGGAGGGAAGTGCATTTCTTTAAAAAGACATCCCACACAGGCACTAAATTAAAATTGAAGGTTGATAAGTTTAAGTGTATACCACATCAAGTACTCCGTTTGGGTCTACGAGGAATCCCGTAAGTTGTCCTTTCCCATAGTGCAAAATAATTGGATCCATCATCCTTCATGTTTGTGATGCTTAACGTCAGTGTACACATCATCTAAGAAACTTCTTTTCATATTGGGCAGTTAAAGCTCTGTTTTTTACTGATATCATGTTACTCTGCTTATCAATAATTCAATAGAATAAGTAGCTTTTGACTTATCTATTTGGCGGAAACAGTGGGTGCCAAAGTTCAGCATATTCAACCATTTTAGAAAAATAAGCTTTACAAAACAGGCCCAAAGCTTACCTGTTTCCTTCCATCCATCCAGGGAAGGGTTCTTTGTGGGTGCTCTCAATGACACTAGGCCGGATTATAACAACAGGTATGTCGCCCCGCATATTATCAATCATCATTTCTCCCATTGCCTTTGTGAATACATAAGTGTCTTGCCATCCAAATTTGTTTGCTCTGAGTATATATATGTACACGGTATAAAATAAAAAAAAATCTTGTGAGAACTCTTCATTTTCTATTTCAAATAGAAAAAGAAAGAAATTTTATAGGCTCATCACCTCTCTAGCCCAAGTTCTTTCATTTTCTGAGCCATTTCATTTCCTTGGAGTGATTCTTTAGCAATCATAACCATCTTCACCTCATCTTCAACGTTCAGCTTAGGGATCGAGTTTTTATTAGTTCCATTGACCACTCTTTCGCCTGCTATGCTGTCACCTATGTTGAATGCTCTTTCCATGATTCTTCCTTGTCGTTGTCCATTAACATAAGCTGTCCTTTCAATGAATTCTTAATCAAAGAGAATGCAGCCTAAAGAAACTCATTTGGTAAGTTATATATGAATAAAACCCACCTGTTGATACATGGAGGAAGAGTTTGAGCTTCTGGCATTGTTTAGCAAAATTCATTAGGCGATTAGTCCCCTTGGTGTTTATATCTAGAGCAACATCATATCTGAAAAATCATTAAATTAACTTTCAAGTGAAACAAAATAATCAAAAGCAGGACTCTTCGAATAAATAAAAGGAATTTTTTCCTAAATGTTACTCTGTACTACTTAAATATCCATTATAAAAAAAGTTATTTTATTTTAGGACATAAATGTTACCAACACACTAACCCAAGAGGCACTGGCCAAATGCCCTTTACTAATTTAATTGGTCATGAGTCATGACCAGTTGAATGTTTATCTTCTAATGTTTCTAATTAACATTTTCTTTTTCCATGGATAGTTACTGAGTAGTACGTAGTAATACTTTATCAAGTTATTCCATAGATAAATAAATCCCATTATTGACCTTTCATCAAAAGTTGTATTAGCTGCAGAGTTGACTATGACGTCGACCTCCTTAGCGATCATCTCAGCTGTGTGTTCATCCATTCCAAGCCCAGAGTCACACACGTTCCCGACGACAGGAACTAACTTGTTCAGCATGAAAGCTTGGTATGATTTTCCATATGTTTGTTTCAGAAACATGAAGAGTTCAGCACTCATGATCTATATAAAATGCATACGTCAATGATGTAAGCCAGAACAATTGAAAAAAGAAGAAATGCAAACAGATGTATATATGAAAAGAAGAAATAGCTTGGGAGGGAAGGATGTTCCTTTAGCGTACTTCTTTTTTCAATCTCTCCATAGCCACTTCTTTATTCTCTGCCTTGATTAAGATGAATATCTTATGCACATCAGGCACTGTCCTCAGTATCTTCTCAATTAGAACTGATAATGAGATGAAGAAACATAGCAATTTCAGTAAATGTCATGAATATATCAGAAGATGGGAAGCAGAAAATCAAGATGTTTGAACATGTTAAGGTTTGATAAGCCACATTTCTTGTTTTCGTTCTTTCTTTCTATTTTGAATTTTGCATATTTGTTTATGTTAAGTATCCCATATTGGATGTTACCATATCTAATCTAATACATAAGTGTTAGGTAAACTACATCTTATCTTGAGGGTCCTTTTGGGAGTGTTTAATCCTAATTTAATATGGTATCAGAGTAAAACTATGATTGAGATTCCTTTATTTTGTTTGTTTGACACTCATAGCTTGAGTAACCTGTATGGGGTCCATTTGGCCAAACCATCCATCCCTCAAGTTGTGTAGCCTGTTAGGGCTGCTGGGACGTTTTAAGTATCCCACAAGTCCACAACCACGTCCAATGTTTACCCGATCTATAACCCAGACTTGTTGGCTACACCTTTTAATGATGTTTTGGATCAGTTAGGCCTACTTTAATAGTTTACAAAAATATACTCCGTACAATATTTAGTTGTGTTTCCAGAAATCGGAGAGAAAGCAATGCAGTCAAACATATAGCATTGTTTTTGTTTTAAAAAGTGAGAATTAAATTAGAAAATAGAAAACCAAAACGTAACCAAACAGAAACCTAAATTGTTCAAGATGATGATTAATTAAATAATCACCTTTTCCTAGAAAACCAGTTCCACCGGTGACGAGGAATGACTTTCCACGGATGAACTTCACAATGCCGATGCCATCATCATGCTTCTCAACGAGAGGTGTCGAACTCCCACCACCAAAAGGAACCAAATCCTTCATCCCAACATCTGTCTGCTGGACGTTCCCGTTTGGCGCCAGAATCAAAGTACCTGCAGCCTCCATTAGTGCTGCCTTGCTTCCCTGTTCGGAAAGAGACCTCTCTGTTACAACAGATGCCATGTTACTAGATTTCACAACGTTGTTCCCACTGCCACTCTGGCAATATACCATGTTCTTGACCCTCAATGTGGGCAGGCAGGGCAGGTATACTTCTTGGTTTCTGATCAAGAAACAAGCTTTACTTCTGGGAACGATGAAGGAGGAAGAAGTAAGAGAAAGATAAAGAGCCTCCATTTTTGCAGAGGGGAAAAAGAGTGAAAGGAAAATGAGGACACTAATGCAATAGACAAACAGCTAGCTAACCACCCACTACTTTTTCCTTATTTTTTTAATTTTTATGGGAAAAAGAAAGTAAAAAACAAGTTAACAAACTTCAATCCATTAATCTATCATGAAAGTTTGGTTAGATTTAAGAAGGTGATAAAGAGTGAGAAGAAACAAGAGTGTTTGGTTGGGGCTTTAAAAGGGGGAGGGAAGGGAGATAAAAGTTAGGAAGATAGCCTGAAGCTCTCTTTTTGCCACCCCCTTCACACCATTCTAACTAACGGCTAAGATGACGCGTCAGTTTATTTATTTATTTATATTTTGTAATTTATTTTCATGTGATTATTATTCAACTTTCTTGCAATGGGGTAGTAAAATTCGATCATTCTAAAGCTTTTTCAGCTTAATTTGAAATGTTTACCACTCAAATCCTTGACTTGTAAATTGCGAGTCTTGTGACCAACGGACTACGGTGCATATGAGTTTCTGAAACTAAAAACCTTTGTAGAAATTACTTTAAAAATGTATTGGTGTACAAAATAATGTTTTAGTATTTCTGTTTTAAAAATGTGTTTTACTGTGACGTTAAGATGAACCTAAACCTATCACACACATATCAATTCTAAAACAAATCATACCAAATTAAATTTTGTACTGCTACTATGAGACTACAACTGCTTAGAAGGTTTGAATTATGGAGGTTTTAAATGTTCATTAAATAAGATACGTAACATTTTCACTCATCTTGACTCTAAATAGATTTCTATTTGATTTTCCACCATATTCTTGAGTTTTTTCATATAAAGGGTACTTTAAAACCTCATTTCAAAATCAAGGGTACTTTTAATCATATTTCCAAAATAACCATATATTTTTCTTGTCATATGCCTTCTTAGGGTTCATTTGGTAGTTTACCCATTGATTCTTTGCACGTGAAATGATTGCGCGCATGCAACATTTATGGAAACAATTACTATGAATGTAAAATAGATTACATTGTTTGATTAGATTTTGATTAGATGTGTAATTTATTTTTAAGGTGCACTCAATGGTGTTGCGGTGCTTTAGAAAATACATGCAAAGTATTTTATCAGCCCCAAGTAAAATACTTTACATGATACGGCAAAACGTTTTTTAAAAAGTGTCATACAGTATACACTTTATTGATTTCACGCAAAGTAATTTATTTACAGAGAAATTATCATTGACCTCCCTCGAGATTTCACATATTATCACCTAGACCCCTGCACTATTAAAAATACACGCTTACCCCCCTCAGTCCTTTGATGAAAGTTTAATAGCTCTTAACTACGTGTAGGAAAAGTATAAATTTAGTTTTATAAATTTACTCACTTGCAAATTTAATCTGATAATTAATAAATTTACCTATATTAAGAATCTTTCCACCAGAAAGTACTTTTTTACGGGAACACGTACTTTCCGATGAAGGACTTTTAGGAGACTATCGTTACCTATTGTAAATTTGTATGAGAAATGCTTACTTTTGTGGTTAATATTAGGGGAGGACAAGGTCCAGACTCAGGAATGGGCGATTTTTGAATTAAGATTTTAGGTCGAGACTGAGACCAGATCGGTGAAAAAGAGGCCTCAGGCCTCCCTTTTTGAGACCGGGATTGGAGCCCATGTTTTGACCCCGTTCATTTTTTTTTCATTAAAACCATTGAGAACATTTTAAAATCGATTATAGTCCATTTAAAAGTTGAAAAATAGGTAGTCAAAAATATTTAAATTATCGGGAGACAGGAGCGAACCTAGACCAATTAGGGGATTGGAACCAAAGATAAGGTCATAGACCGCCCTAATTATTTAGCACTAACCAGTTTGAGTGTGGAAGCCGTCATAAACTAAAATGTTTTTACCAGTATTTTACATGTAAACATGTTCATATTTAGTCAAATATTAATTTACGAGTTATTATTATACCTATAATGATCTCATTTTCAGTGATAACAAAGAGCGCCTAAAGTGCAAATTGAGAATTTTCTTGCATTCAATTTTAATGGTAAAATGGAATAGTAAACTTCCTTTTTGAGTTGGTTTGGTTCATTTAAGTTGATTTGTTTCAATTTTTGTCAAATTTAGCATATTTTGATCATTTTCAATTGAGTAAATTTACTCACTTTACAAATTCAAAGACATAAAATGAACTATCTAGAGTGAGGTCTGTTTTGGTCATTTTTTTATCTGGTTCGACTTCGGATAGAAATGTGTTTAGTTTGGATAAATTTATTAATTACCCAACCAGATTTGTGATTGAATAAAATAACAATATTAAAAGTGGACTCAAAGAAAAATTACGAAACTACAACTTTATCTAAATGTAGATTAAAAGTTATTTAACCACCATTAAAGGATAGAGAGGGGGTAAGAGTATACTTTTGATAGTATAGGGGTGTGATTGATAATGTGTCAAACCTCAAGGGAGGTCAATGATAAATTCCCTTATTTTACATCCTTCCACATCATTCACTCCACCACTTTGCTTACTTCTTAAATTCTATCGTTTACAAATATTTAAAAAATTAAAATACACAAATTTTAAGTTTAGTGATGTACTAGTTTAACTTGTGTTTCCTCATTCCTTTAGCCATGTATCACTTCTTCATCAAATAAATATAAACCTTAATGCGAAATATATGAAATTAAAATAAAATAAAAATCACACAACACGAAATAAAACAAAAACTAACTAAACGCCATGCTAGGTTGTAACGCACACTAAATTTGAATAAAACTTATATTATTAATGTAAAAAACGTGTAAAAATTTATATAATATTTTTTATACCACCTCAGTTCGGCTCAACTTAACTCAGTTTCGTTCAAATTTTAACCGCTAACTTTATAGGTTCGAACTCAAATCAGATGCTCGAATTCGAGCTAAAAATAAATTTTCTATTTTTCAAATTTTTTAATTTGCATATTTTAATTTAGGTGTACTCTTCAAAAATAGAAAATCATTTCTAGTTCGAGTTTGAGTATCTTATTCCATCTCGAACCTATAAAACTTAATAACTAAAATTCGAACCGAGCGCGAGTTGACCCCGATCTGAATTGAGACAGTATAAACAGTTTTTATTAAAACAATTCATGTGTTTTCAATTTACCATGCTATACGTTTTTTTTTTAATTTTGGTGTGGGTTAAGGTCTAACATAGCATTTACTTTGTATTTATTTTAGTTTATTAAGTTGTGAGTTATTTTTAAAAATATTTGATTTCATATCCCTAATTATTTTTTTACTATATTTCTTATTAGGTTTTTATTTTTTAATTGAATATCACATACTCCGTATTAATTTTTATTATATTTTGTATTTATATGAGGAAGAATTACTATATACTATCATCCGATTATTTTTAGTTACAACATAGATAACTTTACACTATTCACATGCTCTACTTTGAAAATTACTAATAAAGAATGAAATATAATGATGGTCAAAATTATGTATTAGCAAATGTGAAAATGAGATTGTTGCAACTAAACAACAATAGAGGAAGTATTTTTAAGGGAATGTGTAATACACGAAATAAGCTAATACATTACTGCAATTGAAATCTATTTATTTAAATATTTGTTAAGGAGAGCATTAAACAAGTGAGTACGGTGTTGGGATGGTGTGAAAGGTGAATGTCACTATGCTTACATGGTAGATGACAAGGCAAAATAGCTTTATTTAAAGAATATGTTTAAAAGTACCCTTGATATTAGAGATTGTAGAGGAGGAAATTGTATAGACTAACTCATACTCCCTCCGTCCCGTTGAAATGTTCCCGATTTGACCTACACATATATTAAGGAAATAAACTTACCAGGGGGTAAATTTTACTGTTTTGACACTGTTTCGACACTGTTTTGCACTGTTTCGACACTGTTTGACACTGTTTTGATGTAGGATAACTTTTCTTTAGGGAAAATGAGAACTTTCCAACGGGACATCCAAAAAAGGAAAGCAGGAACATTCCAACGGGATCAAGGGAGTATAATCAAATGATGAAGGTAATTTTATAAGAGGCAGAAGTGAAGTGAAGCAGGCGGGTTGGTCCCCGACGGATACTGAGGCCAAAGGGGTTCAGGAAGATATTAACGACAGAATTCAGATAGAGTGACAAAAAGTGGAGATCGAAAGGAACACACTATTAGTGGTTCAGGACCTCAGGTGTTTCAAAGTTCAAGAGGTGTAGCATATATAGATTTAATTTTGGATGACATTAGAGTTCTTCTGATGTTGGGTAGTACTTTTGATTATGAATAGACACCAGGATGTATGGGTAGTGACCAATTTAATTGAATAATGAGATGAACTATATATAACAAAAAATAATTATATTTGAACATGTTTTTACCACCAAAGTGCATAGCCTATATATACACTTTTAGTCAAGTGTCATCTTCTATATATAGTCGACAACTTCAAGTTAGTGCCTCTAATAATAACTTGTTATTGACGCAATGGGCATCTCCAATGAACATTTTCTTCAGGAGTCAGGACAGCCTCTCTGGAGTTCTTCAGGAGGGATGAAGGAGTCTAGAGAAAGGCCCGGGACATTAAACGCCAAATCATCAATGGTGTATGTTTCTTGCATACGAACCGTGACAGGACCGGTCTTCAAATGGTCTCCGAATGATGTGATTGTGACACTTGAGTAGCCAGAATGAGCAACCATCACTCCCTCGACAGGCCGATAATCCTCTATCCTTGTGCTCATTGCGGTTTCCCAGTATGTGGCCGAAGAACCCGGTGACTGGATTCGGGTGAGGTATGAATCCTCCAAGTAAATGAGCAGACCACTTCTTTGGCTGAAGTAACCGAGCATTACGTGTTTTATCATCTCCGCCGTGTTGTCGCTACGCTCAGCGAGGTCTGTGCGGCTGGAGGATAATTTCAAGACAAAGCAGTCAACTCCCAATGTATGTTTTTCTCCCATGTACTCTGCCGTTGAGAACATAGCTGAAATTGCCATGGGATCAAGCCCCTGCCAAGTAAAATTAAGCTATTTCAGTCCATGTGGCCAAACTGGAAGCCCATTTGTGTGGTCTTAAAAGTTAAAATGGATGAATACTGTGAAATGTTGAATTAGTGGCTGAAAATGGTTATTCTCTTCTACGCATACTTCAATCACACAATATTTACTTTTCTTATTCAACGTGTAATTCGATGTTGGCAATATCGAATAGGACAGAGTTGTTTTTGGTAATAGGATTGGTAAACAACTTAAGATGAAACCGCTCAAACAGGCCAAACTCAAGCCAAAAAAATTAAATATTTAATAGATAACAAGTCATAAGGTTTAGGCCTAACAACAACAATAAAATAAGCTTGACATGACCTGTTTTTCACCCCAAGGAGAGTGCAATTTTATATTTAGTGATTAGTGAAAAATTGATTAAAATGCCAAATCATTTGTCCACCAAAGTGACCAAAGAGGCTCTGATCTATTTTATTGATATTAAGATTCTAAAGGTTTATTTGTGGAAAGAAAGGAAAGAGTAGTTGTGGGAGTAGCTTTCCTGGAGAGCGCGGCGAAGAGGACGGACACCACCTTTAGCAGCGTGAGCTCCGAGCCAGGGCGTGTGACGCCATGCGACATTGCCATCACTGCCTGCTACAATTTTGTGACCACCCAAAGATAGCTCAATTAGCCACTTGCTAGGAAGCATTTGCCACATAACAAAGCAACCCTTCTGTGAAACATTGGTGGTGGTGCCTGGTGAGCCAAGCTCATCCACCACTGCCATGACAACTTTTCCGGTAGTATACATGTTTTTTACCATCCCTTCAAGCTTCCGGCAGCCAGTAGCAGCCATGAAGTGTTGTACAATGTATTCTGATGATGATGAGACCTGCTGTCATGTGTGTCAATAGGATGGTCATGTAACAAATTTCATAATGACTAGTGTTTGGTGTACACCCTCTACAATTACGCCCTATTTATTTACGCTTCACACAGACAAAATAATATTAATACAGACAACTTTCGACAAAATTCGTCTGTGTGGACAAAACTTATCTATGTGAACAAAAAGATAATCTACTCACTAAATGAAGTGTAATTATATCATTCTATTGAATAAGAAAATGTAATTTTTTAGACATCCCAAAAAAATCATTCCATAAGTGAGAAGAATTTTTTGCGATACTTTATGTAATCGTATCTTCACGGATTCACCAAGAATCCAAGATTATATGTTATGTAGAATAAATGAATAATATCTTATCTGGGCACACACTTTTTAAATAAAATAACATTTATCATATTTGATTACATGAATCATGAGTTATAATCAACTATCTAATTGTTAATAACACGCTTTTAATTTGTTTAACAAGGTTTATTCTAGGCAAAGAAGTACTGTTTTAAATATTTTGAATAATATCTTTGAATGTATGAAATTAGTGAATTGAATTTAATATTGTGATATATGTATACAATATTGTTAATTTATGTAATATGTATATATCTTATGTGTAATGTTATAATATTTGAAATTTTAGTACCATCAAATAGTGTGTTTAAAGAAAGATTGGAAACTGAAATTAAGTAAGCTTCAACTTTTAAAACGAAGTATAACAAAATTAATATAGGGGTTATATTTCATTTTTTGTTATAATTGTTCTATTATAAACCCAAAATTTTGTTATTTCGAATCTTTTATTTGATTATTAAGTTGTCATATAATTGTTATAACGAAGTACAATTAAATTTTCAATATTTGATTATTAAGTTGTCATATAAAATTGCTTATTATTTCACAAAACAGAAATCATGGAATCCTTGACGAGATGTTCAAAATCAATACCAAAAAAATTAGTTATAGGCTCGGATATTGGCAAGGAAGTCTTCAGAAAATTCCCAATTTAACATGTTTGGCTCGGTTTTGGCTCAAGCAAGACTGAGTATATGGAGTGCAAGTTCGGTGGAGGTAGAAGCAGTAACAACAGTGGGATTACTCTTGATGGTAAGGAGATACCGGTGTGTGATATGTTCCGTTACTTGGGATCCATAATTCAGAAGGATGGTGAATTAGATGGAGATGTATGTCATAGAATCAGAGCTGAGTGGATGAAATGGAAAAGTGCTTCAGGATTTCTATGCGGTCGAGGTATGCCGACTAAACTGAAAGGTAAATTTTATCGTACAACAATTAGGTCGACATTAATGTATGGCGTAGAGTGTTGGGCGGTGAATCAATGCCACATTCAAAAGATGAGTGTGACAGAGATGCGTATGTTTTGGATGTGTGGACATACCAGAAAAGACCGCCTGAGAATGAGGTAATCAGACAAAAGGTGGGAGTAGCTCCTATAGAAGATAAGATGCAGGAGTCTCGTTTGCGATGGTTTGGGCATGTGCATAGAAGACCGAGTGATGCACCTGTTAGTCGACTTGAGGGGTGGGGAGAAGAGTCAGAGAAGAGAGACAGGGGAAGACCCAAACAGACTTGGATTAGAGTAATCAGAACTCATATGCGTTTTCTTGGGTTGGATGAGAGTATGGTTTTGGAGAGAGCAAAGTGGAGAGCACACATCCATGTGGACGATTGATGTCTTGTCTACCTTTCCTCTCTTGTTTCTTTTATCGTTTATCTTCCTTATCTTTTTATATTCTTATGTTATTTTTATCTTCTAGCTTTTTTATGCTCTTTTATTTATTTTTCTTTTATCTTGGATATATTCTTGTGTTATTGTTATCTTATATTTATGTATCTTTATTTTATTCATTTTATCTTACTTTTTTTCCTTTTCTTGTCCGGCTTCTCTTTTTGGCATTAATATCATAGATCGATTCATGTTAGCCGACCCCAAATTCTTTTGGGATTAAGGCTTGGATGTTGTTGTTGTTGTTGGCTCGGTTTTGGCTCGAATATTTTTCCCATCCAACCAACTCGAGCCAAATGTACCACAGTCTATGGCTCCAGGAAATTTTGATTCCGCTCCAAATTTACCAGAGTCTATGGTTCCAGGAAATAACACAGGTTTGACTCGCCTAGTTTTCGTACCAATTTGGCTCAGAAACAACCGTCACAGCCGAACCGAATGCAGATATCAAATTCAAAATTATGGCTCGGAAAATTCAAATTTACAAATTTAAACTTTGTCTGGGATGCTTAACTGAGCTAAATCAAAATCATTTTAAAAAAACGTACACCATACACATGTATGATTTTACCGTACACATGTACGGTTTTACTATACACATATACGGTGTATGTTTCTTTATATGCAAGCAACAGGAAAAATAAAAGATATCACACTAAGCAAGCAAATACAAAACGAAAGCAATAAACCAAGCAGGAACCTTAGGCTTTCAAAACCATCCAAAATCATTTTACAGTCACATTGTCAAATGTCCAAAATCATAACATAGGATGTCCAAAAACACGTTACATATTGTCAGGAAAGTTATTATAAAAAAGTTACAAGATGCTCCCAACGTTGCCATCTTCACCAATTTCATTGAAAATGTCATTCATCCTGACCTCATTAGAATAACCATTCAAGTCGTTCATGTGCACCAAAGTTGGGGTTCAAAAGCTCGAAGGGCAATGGGACATAATATGCCACAAACGCTCTAGACATGTTGACGATTTTAGCGGTCATTTGACCTTGAACCTGTTGCTCGTGCTGCGCAAAGCGATCTTCAACCTACTCCCGAATGCGTTGATCGATCTCCTCTTAAGTTGACCCACAAACTCAACTAGGGCCATCAACGGTTTCAAGCGATTTACCTTCTGACCGGGTACCATACCGGCGGGCGTCCTCTTGATCATCTTGATCATAGGACTTCCCTTCAGATTCAGCTATTGCCTTCATTTCATTGTACTTATTCTGCCTAAACAATATTTATTATCTTAATCTTAAAAAAACTGTCCACTAAAAAACTTAAAGATCAATAAATACACACTCGGGTTTGAACAACACGACCAAGTTGATCACTGTTCTTAGGCACACACACCTAAATTTTCAATACTGGCCAATTCAAACTTCCTGTCTATCAACTCAATTTTTTATATTTAAAACCTCAAATAAACCATCAAAACAGTTAAAAACAAATATAAAACAAACAAATATCAACAGTTAGAATATTAATACTAACATAGAATATTCGACACATATTGTAAATATTAAAACAATAAAACTAATTGTTTAATATTAAAATAGAATATTAAACACATAATGAAACTAAATTGTTAAACAATTAGAATATTAAAACATTTCAAACAGATATTAAGAGTTAAAGATGTGCATATTATAAAAATGAGTAAGGGTTTTAATATTCACCAGACACTACCAAATATTTTAAAAATTACAAACTAATTGTTAATATTAAAACTGACAAAAAATATCTATCTATTAATACAAAAACAAAATATTTTAATTAAAAACTCAAATAAACCATTAAAATAGTTAAAAACGGATACTACGTATAAAACAAAGCGATATCAACCGTTAGAATACAAATAGTAAAATAGAATATTAAACACATATTGTTAATATTAAAATAATTAAAACTAACTGCTCTAATATTGAAACAGAACATTAAATACATCATAAACCTAAATTGTTAAATAGTTGGACTATTAAAACATATATTAACATTCAAAGATGTGCATATTATTAAAATAAATAAGGGTTTTAATATTCACTAGTCACCACAAAATAAGTTAACAAATACAAACTAATTATTAATATTAAAAAACAAAAAACTTTCATTCTATTAACGCAAAAACAGAATATTTTGATAAAAAACTCAAGTAAACCATTAAAACAGTTCTAAAACAAACAAAAATCAATAGTTAAAAAATTAATACTAAAACAGAATATTAAACACATATTATTAATATAAAAACAATTAAAACTAATATTGAATATTAAAACAATTATGTCATGTTATATACCATTTTTTAGCATGAGTCGTGACCAGAACGCGGCCACTCGATAATGAGATTTTTTAGCTGCATCGGAGTTGCGATTTCCCCTACTATGCTTTTCTTCTTAAAAGCATCACTAGGCCAATACTCTTTCAAAACCACCCAATATCTTTCAGCAACCCATTCCGGCTTCTTTTTTTGACGTCTAGCTCTGCCTGTATTCTTACTCAACCATTCGAATTCATGAAAAACAAAGCGCTTTTTTGTAGCATCTTTATGGTAGGGTTCACACGAATGTTTTTGCTAATCATAAATAACATACATAAAATTGCTTAACACATGTAGAATAGTTTATACACATTTAAAACCTTAATAAATATGTCAAATACCATATTATATTTAAACCACCTCAAAAAGACACAAACATCTGTTCCGTTGCTCAACTTCAGCATGCTTGAAGGAGTGCCAAAACCCATGATAATTTGATGTTATCATACCGATGATAGAGTTAAGGACAATACGATTACTACAATGCCATTATTAAACTAATGAAATAATTCAACTTACATTTTTTTAGAATAAAAGGTTATTCATATTCAGAATTGAAATTTATACCTTCGTATCTCAGAGGCTTTGATGCACACTTTAGGTTGTGATTGTTTAGGCACTTGAGACGTAAAACCATTAGCTTGTTCATCAGAGAGTTCGGGTCTGGTTGTGGGATTCTAGGGATCCTGCACCCCTTGCTCTTGCCACAACCTCTTCCTGAAATAAAACACCTAAATCTTCCTTTACTAAGAGACATCCTATTAAATTGCATAACAATATATTTCTTAATGTAGGATGTCAATCAATAGTTTGAGCATGTTCGCTTAAAATTAAAGAATTCAAACTATTTGAATTCTTAAAGGCATAAAATTCAAACATGATGTCTAAAAAAATTAAAGGAGCTATATACAGAAGCCATTTCAGAT